CGAACAAGAGACGGTCATTCGATGGCGATGTCTTTGATACGGGTTTCACAGTTGTGTTTCGGCGACTGTTTTCAGCCCAGTAACGTTTTGATAACGTTTGTATTTTTTTTTAACAAATCCAATTTCAGGTGTATAATTTCCTTTGCCCGGTAGGTTAAAGAGCGTATGTTATAACTGGTTCCATCTTTGATATACTACAAAGGTCTTCTCTAAATGTGTGTATGAGTCAGTGGATATTGGGTAGTGTGAGTGAGTCAATGATCGAATGAGTGAGTGAGTGAATGAACGAAAGAGAAATAAAACCGATCTATATGTTTGTTTGTTCTTTGTAGTTTAACGCCGCACTCAACAATATTCCAGCTCAATGACGGCGGTCTGTAAATAATCGAGTCTGGACCAGACAATCCAGCGACTGACATCATGAGCATCGGTCCAGGCAATTGAGATACGATGACATGCATCAACCAAGTCAGCAAGCCTGGCCACCCGATCCCGTTAGTCGCCTCTTACAACAAGCATAGTCGCCTCTTATGTCAAGCATCGGTTGCTGAAGATCTATTCTCTAACCAGATCTTCAGGGGTCCTATATAATATACATTAAACAATCGCACTACCCAAATGCTAACCCAGCGTCTTGCTACCCATTAGAATTGAAAGTGTTTCCTTTCACAAAGGCACCGAAAGTGATCGCAACTTCCCAGAATCAGCCGCCGACTTCGTAATGTCACGACCACATCCCCAGACTCCTGATCCAGTCTCTCCCTATCTCTTCATCAGCATCCCTCCCCGGCCTGGTCCCTCGGGGGTGGCAACCCCCTGTTGACACGCTCCCCAGGTATCCGCATGTACCCACGGGCAGACACCCCTGATGTGAGGCCTCGACCCACCACAACTACGGAGACAGATTCATAACTCCGCACAGCCGCGGAGGCAACAAAGAAGAAAGAAGTGTCGTGGTTTCATAATAGGAAAAACGATCCGTGTTCCTTTGTTGCTTATCTGATATAAACACAATCTATAAATTAGGGTAATAATGGTGAGGAACAAGACGTCATTTCTGAGCAAATAGCGTGTGCTGCCTCGTCACTAAGCACTGTTATGCCTTAGTTTCCGAGTAATAACCGTTACAGCAAATCTACCCCAGCCCCTATATCGTCTCGGTTTGCGTTTTTTAGGGTATGTGTCATATTGTATTCATATTATACGTGGTATTGCACTTATCATTGCCGCCTGTTTCCATTGCAGCAGTATCCATGGTCACCGCTTGTGTGGAAACCACCTTTAAAAGTAAGTCCGATATCCTCGTTTTGCACGTGCTCGGACAGAACATGCCATGTCATACTTTTGTTTTCTCCGCGAAGAAAGTTGCATTTCAGCTCTCTGTTCCAGCTCTCTGTTCCCGCTCTCTGTTCCAGCTCTCAGTTCCCGCTTTCTGTTCCCGCTTTCTGTTCCAGCTCTCTGTTCCCGCTCTCTGTTCCAGCTCTCAGTTCCCGCTCTCTGTTCCCGCTCTCTGTTCCAGCTCTCTGTTCCAGCTCTCTGTTCATGCTTAACATGTTTTCAAATCACTGGTCATATGTTTTGTTTGTTTGTTTATTTGTTGTGTAACGCCGCACTCAGCAATATTCCAGCTATATGACGGCGGTCTGTAAATACTAGTAATCGAGTCTGGACCAGACAATCCAGTGACTGACATAAAGAGCATCGATCCACGCAGTTGGGATACGATGACATGCATTGGTGATATGTACGTACCCTTTTGGCCCAACCTAAATACTCCAACCAATACAAGCTAAATGCTGGATGACACACGATTTATACCACAGTGTATTTAGTTTTATAATTGTTTGTTGTTTAACGCCGCACTCAGAATTATTCCAACAATATGACGATAAATTCCAATAAAATAATCGAGTCTGGACCACACAATCCAGTGATTGACAGCATGAGCATCGATCCACACAATTGGGATACGATGACATGCATCAACCAAGTCAGCGAGCCTGACCACCCGATCCCGTTAGTTGGCTTTTACGGCAAGCATGGGTTGCTAAAAATCTATTCTACCCCGGATCTTCGCGGGTCTAGGAACAACGCCTATGGTATATGACCTATCGTGATGAGGAAATGAAGTGATGACAAAAGTCCAACTCATAATACCAACTAACCATACACAAAACTATGCCTTTACTACAAAAAGCCAATTTAAATGTAAACATTTTGTATATATGCAACACAAAAATATTCTACCACCTATTTCAAACTAAAAATTAAAAGAAGCGTTTATTTGCGACGAGTGATACATATTTTTTATAGACGAACTCGCGCCGAAGACAAACAATCTTATTTCCTGTTTTTTTAGAAGAAGATATCGTCAGTGGCTCGTTGGCGATTACGATTGCTGATAGAAATATGATTCATAAGATTTAACAGTTACTGTTGGTCTAGACCTCTGTGAGTGACGTCAGTATGACGTAAATCGGAACACAAACACATATTGTTTTTCATATTTCTTTTATTTTAGTCAGTACCACCGAGTCCAAACCCACAAAAACAAGACAACGCTTTGAGCCAGTGTTTCCAGTGAACGACTTGTTTTTTGTTTTGTTTTTGTTTTGTTGGTTAACGCCGCACTCCGCAATATTGCAGTTATATGACGGCGGTCTGTATTTAATCGAGACTGGACCAGATAATCCAGTGATTGACAACATGAGCATCGATCCACGCAATTGGGATACGATGACATACATCAACCAAGTCAGCGAGCCTGACCATTAGTCGCCTTTTACGACAATCATAGTCGCCACTTACGGCAAGCATAGTCGCCACTTACGGCAAGCATGGGTTTTGAAGACCTATTCTATGCTGTAGACCAGCTCACAGAGCACTTATGCACAGTGAATGCTGCGCTAACACTAACAATGCATTAGAGCAAAGTCAGGCCTACAGTTGACTCAAAGATGGTTATTTACGGTATGACTTTGTAATACAAGTTGATAATATTGATAATGAAATATGACAAGAATGTAAGCTTTGACATGTTGTCGATATCACAGCATCATCATCAGCAGTCAGCGTCCGATGTAAACGGCGTCGTTCTGTACGCGGAATATGTTGACGTTGGCGTCTGAATCTCAGCCTTGCTTTGTGTTGCGTCTTTCGCTTACCTCACAACCCCGAACCTATTCGTATTGACGTTAAAGTGTCACTTGCTGTGTTATAATGGCATGTTACATTCTTCTGCACCTCATTAATTACACGTGCCACGTGCTTGTGACCAGTTGTGACAGTTCTGAAACAACACACACCCCCTCCCCTTGCTCGAACTGTAACTAACGCGTAACATGCACGTGCTGTAACCACGCGCCGGTTGCTTGTTACATCCCCGTATTCATGAATATCCGCGTGGCGCACAAGCGTGGGAAAAGACTTATTTATTTTTTACTATTTGAACAAAAAGTACCATTGCTAACACTGTACAAAATATTTTTTTTACCATATTGTTTAGTAGACTGGTATTAGACCTTGGCAAATGTCAAGAAATCGCTTGGTGAGATAGTATGGATTAATAAATCATATTTCACAAATCTCTATTTAACTCGTTCGCGTGGACCTCAGTTACTCAATATTCTGTCACAGACTACGGCTCTTTGCTTTCCAGCTGAAATCTTCTTTATTCGTCATCATTCAGAGGTTTTGTAACCGCACTGCTGCTGTGACCATAAATACTTTTTCAAACGTTTTTTAGTCATCGTGCAGGTCTTTTAAACATATTGTGGGAACGATTTGATTTCCGTGCGATCAATAACGCTTGGTTTTGTCCGCTTAAAAATCCGTAATTGTTGTTTTTATATTAGTTTTGTGGAATTGACGATTGCCCGGATGTGATGGTTCAGGTGGTGAAGTTATAAAGGCGACGTAGACCCCAAAGAGTTTATTTGCGCCCATCAAGAAAGAGCCATCTTTATCTTTCCTTGCTTATAAACTATTCCGCTATAGTTTCTGACGACTTTTCTGCAGACTGAGATAATAAAAACGGGGACAGTAATCTATGACCCGTGACAAAACACATCAAAGGAGTTTCTAGATGTCCACACCCGGGCTGGATGACCAGAAAATGACAAACGCTGACAAACCGCCCATGATGAGATTCCGTTACAGAATAAGTCCCATCACCCCATGCTTGTTGTAGGAATCGACGTCGATTAAGCTCGTCCATATGGATCATTTTTCTGTATTCGCTGATTCGCTTGGACTATACATTTAGTTATGCATAAGCCGTTACACTATCGCTTGAGAACGCCTCCTTGGTCTATTGGTAGAGCGTCCGCCCGGAGATCGGAAGGTCCGGGGTTCGATTCCCGGCCGCATAAAACCAAAAGACGTTAAAAGATGGCACTTGTTGTTACCCTGCCTGGGCATTAATGGGCAAAAATAAGGACTCGTCTGCTCAGTGTACTGTGCATGAGTTGGGTATTCACTGGGTATTAACTGCGGCGTGGTATCTCATTGGGCTAGCACTATAAAATCGGCATTAGTCCGGACTAGCACAAGCAGCCACACACACACACACACACACACACACACACACACACACACGTGCATTCACGTCGCTATACAAGTGCAACAATCTTGGACGCGACGTTAAACCCAACTTCACCTCACCAATTCACTTACAACACATAGGGGCGGTCGGGTAGCCTTGTGGTTAAAGCGTTCGCTCGTCACGCCGAAGACCCGGGTTCGATTTCCGACATAGGTACAATGTGTGAAGCCCATTTCTGGTGTCCCCCGTCGTGATATTGCTGGAATATTGCTAAAAGCGGCGTAAAACCAAACTCACTCACGACAACACATAACTCTTACCAGCTCTGTGATTTGACATGTAGACTTGGTCGATGGTTGCGAGAAACCCAGTACAAAAGATTAAGGATAATTTAATGAGTGCTGAAATAAAGAAACATTGAGGCTGATAACCATAATGTGGCACACGTCTCACTAACCTTCCACTTGGCTACCAACCATCCACCAGTCATCGTCCACCATCCCAGCCTCTGCAAATATACGTATTTGTTGGACACAAAGCCGTTGCATACATTTGGCGGACAAGTGGTAGAAACTCAAAGTCCAGTGCAGAATTTGACTTTGTTTTCAACCAATATTTGAAGATAGGAACCAATTATCGTCTTGCCAGAAATGAAAGTTGTCAGTTACACTTATCCAGATTTGCCACCGGACCTCAAACTGATATCGATCAGATCTCTTTCTAAAATATTGTTGTAATCGTGCATGTTATTCGGAGGCATAGTCAACTTGGCGTTATATTGCTACACTCCTCAGCCCCAACCCCCCCCCCCCCCCCCCCCCCAACCTTCTCACTGGGGTCCTGGGTATGGGGTGAGCATGCACATCGGTGTTCACGTCCAAGATAATTTCAAATGTCACAGGCGACTTCACATAATGTAATATTATGTTTAATTCTAGCCCAGGAATAACCCTGTCAGCCTCGCATTTCCTTCTTAAGAAACTCTACTTTAATTATGTCTTAATTATACCCGCTGAGTGAAGGTAGTGTGTCCCGTCACATTACTTCCAGCCCATACAGGGACAGAACTGCTGTAATGTACCCGTAATACACCCGGCCACGCCCACAATACACCCTTCATATGAATTACATGTGAGGAATAACGGTGCGATAGCCACAGGCTGTTGCCTTCATTTGGGGAAGGGGTATATATACAATGGTCGCAGACAGACAGCACCAACCCATCACCCCTTACCCTCACACGTCCGCAACACCTCCCCCGGGCCAATTCAACAGTTTTCACTCGTGGGAATAATGTGTGTAGTTAACCCACAATCATTGCTGCCACCAGAGGTGTAGGTTAAGTACACTAGGCTTTGCTAGTAGCACATCCCGTGCAACCCACCTGTCGCGTGGAAGGGTGATGTTCCACGGCTATCAACGCCCAGCATCTCCCCTTCTCCGCTACCCGAGTCCCCTGACACACGTCGAGTGATGAGACTCAAGGTACTGTTACACGCTGGGTAGGTTGTTTGGGGTGGGGGAAGTATGCTGGTCGGGACAGAAATTGGGAAGGGGTTGATGGAAGTGAAACGGAGAGGATGCTTGTTCCACAGTCCTCGTGCCGTGTGGGTGACGGGAAGGGAGAAGGATGCTGGTGGGGGTGGGGTGGAAGAAGGATGCTGGTGGGGTTGGGGGTGGGGAAGGATGCTGGAGGGGTGGGAGAAGGATGGTGGTGGGAGAAGGATGCAGGTAGGATGGGAGAAGGATGCTGGTGGGGTGGAAAAGGATGCTGGTGGGGTGGGAGAAGGATGCTGGTGGGGTGGGAGAGGGATGCTGGTGGGTTGGAAGAAGGAAATTGTAGGGTGGGAGAAGGATGCCGGTGTGTTTGATGGATACGAAGGGCTGGTCAAAAAGTTTCAAGTCTGACTAACTTTCAACTTTGGCCCATAACAAAGTGAACTGGTCAATGTAGTACATTGTTTGAGTGGTTCATTGCAAGTGTATTTGGTCTGTTGAGGTCTGTTGGTCTGTATATTATTGACAGTCAGTTGGACGTGATAGGGGTCCAAATGGACACAGAAATGGTAAAGAACGAGTACCGAGCAGTCATCACGTTTTTTTACTTTAGAGAAAAAGTACTCCAAAAGAAAAGCTTGACCGCATGTCACAAGTGTATGGGGATAAGTGTCCTAGCTATTCCACTGTTGGACATTTAACAGCTATGTTTAAGGCGTGGAGAACAAGCCTTGATGATGGTCCTCGGTATGGATGTCCCTCAACTTTTATCAGTGAAGATTCAATCAAGGAGATAGAAAAACTTATACTGTCAGATAGACGTATCACCACTGCTAAACTTGAGGAAGACACAGGTCTAAGCTATGGATCCATTGAAACTATCACTAGTATTCATGAATATTTACAGATGAATAGGGTATCTGCTCGTTGGGTGCCGAAGGAAAAAAGAACTGACATTGCTAGAGAAGATTTAGAGCTAATTGAGGAGGATTTCGTAATAATTCAAAAGAGATCAGTAACGCTTGATGAAACATGGGTCTACCACTTTGATCCCGAGTCAAAGCAACAATCTATGGAATGGCACCATTCCATTTCTCCGGCACCAAAGATATTCAAGTCTTCAAGATCAGTGAAGAAAGTTATGGCCACTGTATTCTGGGATGCAAACGGTGTGATACTTGCTCATTACTTAGAAAGTCATAAGACGATTACCGGTGCCTACTTTGCTGATTTTCTTCATCGCCTGCGAGATTATATCAAAGAACAGCGGCGAGGAATGTTGACTGTTGGAGTTCTACTACTTCATGGCAATGCCCCTTCTCACCTCTCGACTTGCAAAGGCTGCTGTGAGACAAATCTGGATTCGAAGAGCTTCCTCGCCCTCCACACTCGCCACACCTAGCACCATGTGATTTCCTCCTGTTTCCTAAACTGGAAGAACACCTTCGTGGAAAGCGCTATGACGACAACGATGACCTCACAGCTGCCGTGAATTGGTTTTTCAGGGCGGTTTCAGAAAACTTATTCCTGACTGGAATTTAAAAACTTCACTATCGATATCGGAACTGTATTGAAAAGCAGGGCGATTATGTTGAAACATATCTTTTCAAACACTTTCACAATTGTTGGTTTTGTTTGTTGGTCTCAGAACTTTTTGACCTACCCTCGTATTTGAAGGATGGGAGAAGGATCCGGTAGGGTAGGAGAAGGATACGTAGGGGGGGGAAGAGAAGGATATTGGTCGGGTGGGAGGATGCAGGTGTCTTTACCATCAAGATCACATACTAAATTGTTTACAACAACACAATACACTTGTCTAATGCTTGCTGCCTGGATTAAAAAAAACAATTAAAAAAACCGAAAAGAATAATTTGAATCCTGCCTTCAATCCCATAAAAGACATTTTTTTGATTAATCACTTTATCATACATATCACCTGTGATTGCAATTGTGAAAACCCTGGCAATGGATGGAGCAGGTGTCTGACAGGTCTCCCCGACAACGCGACATCTATCGCCAAAACAGACAATATCATGACATAAAATATGAAATTATAATAAAATGTGATAATCAGTTAATAATTACGCGGTGATGTTCAACTACGAGGGGAACTGCGTGACTGATGCCTCTGTATTATATGTTTGAGGAGGGAGACAAATTGCTAATGCTGTGTCCCCGCCGTCGTGTATCAGGTGGGGGTCACTTGTAGCTCCGCCGTCCTCTACTAGGGGACATGTAGCTCAGGCGTCCTGTATAAGGGGGATTGTAGCTCCGGCGTCCTGTATTCGGGGAACCTGTAGCTCCGGCGTACTGTATTAGGGGGATTGTAGCTCCGGCGTCCTGTATTAGGGGGATTGTAGCTCCGCCGCTCTGTATTAGTGAGTGAGTGAGTATGGTTTTACGCCGCTTTTAACAATATTCCAGCAATATCACTGTGGGGGACACCAGAAATGGGCTTCACAATTTGTACCCATGTCGGGAATCGAACCCGGGTCTTCGGCGTGACGAGCGAACGCTTTAACCACTGGGCTACCCGACCGCCCCTCCGTTCTGTTTTAGGGGGAATGTAGCTCCGCCGCTCTGAATTAGGTTACCTGTAGCTCCGGCGTGCTGGAAGAGGGAGGGGTGGTCTGTAGCTCCGCCGTTCTGTATTATGGGGACTGTACCTCCGCCGTTCTGTATTAGGGGGAATGTAGCTCGGACTTCTGTATTAAGGGGGGCCATGTAGCTCGGCCTTCTGTATTAAGGGGGGCCATGTAGCTCGGCCTTCTGTATTAAGGGGGGCCATGTAGCTCGGCCTTCTGTATTAAGGGGGGCCATGTAGCTCGGACTTCTGTATTAAGGGGGGACATGTAGCTCGGCCTTCTGTATTAAGGGGGGACATGTAGCTCGGCCTTCTGTATTAAGGGGGGACATGTAGCTCCGGCCTTCTGTATTAAGGGGGGACATGTAGCTCGGCCTTCTGTATTAAGGGGGGCCATGTAGCTCCGGCCTTCTGTATTAAGGGGGGCCATGTAGCTCGGCCTGCTGTATTAAGGGGGGACATGTAGCTCGGCGTTCTGTATTAGTGAGACATGTAGCTCGGCCTTCTGTATTAAGGGGGGCCATGTAGCTCGGCCTTCTGTATTAGGGGGACTGTAGCTCCGGCTTCCTGTATTAGGGGGACTGTAGCTCCCCCGCCCTGCATTAGAGAGACCTGTAGCCCGGCGTTGGCCGAGAAAACACGAGTCCGATAGCTCACCTCACGCTGCACCTTCGTTATGCGTTCATTACATATTTGAATAATTTATGATAGGGGCTCGAGTTGAGCAGACACTTGTACACGCCAGTTCTGCGGGCACCGATCCTCGCGCATTGCGAAGTTCAACAAACCAACTTTGTAAACATATGGCCCTGGGTAGAAACTTATTGAAATGTCACCGACTTGAATAACGAGCTACCTGTCAAAATGTAGATACTTTTGTTCGAGCCAGTCTTGTTTTTTCTGGCATATTTGTTCGAGTCCCGTGTCCCCCTCTCCCGACACGGTGCTGACACATGAGCGCACGTGGCAGGAGCGAGCCGCACACAAATCACGCTCTAAATTTCCCCCGGGCTCTTATACGTTGTCATGGTAACTTAGAACTTGACGCAACACCCGAACCCCACTGGTGACCCTGTCTTCCTATTTTGATATAAAGTGAATAAGATTTTCCTCCCCGTGTGTCGTAACAGACGTGTAGTTGGGGAGGGGTTTGGAGGAGGGGGGAGGGGTTTGGGGGAGGGGTTTGGGGGAGGGGCATAACTTGATTATCATACAGGTGAAGCGACGGGTACTCACACAATCTCCACCACGCCATACATGACGTTTAACATCAAGCTATACGCTCCTCTTTTGAACACATTAATTTAGATTTAAATGTCCTGATATTTTCCTACGTGAAGACCATGCTTTCACAGTTTGCGGAGAGTGGAGAAAGGAACAGCAGCTATGAAATATTCATACCCCTTTACAGGGTTAAAGAACTCTGCGACAACCCTGCCCCCTTGCCCCCAATACAGGGGAAGGATAAAGGCATCAAAAGACAGACAAAGTTATCATTTATAATCTCGCCAGTGTTCAAACAAACGCTACCCCGTCCCCCCAAAACTACAACACCCATTTGCACCTCAGTCGAGGCGTGTTTACAATGGTTAAGTCCCAATAACACCTTACTGGGCCCGATGACGCGACGTGACAAGACCTAGGCTTGGTTAAATTTCACGTTGCAATCACCTTGATTGTATTTATAACCATACACCAGATAATGACATGAGCTATACAGGGGCTTTCTTGAGGAGTGCGAGGGAAAGATATGTGTGTTAGGGTGAGCTGGACGTCTGGCGTCGGATGGGACGGTTGGAGAGAGGCTGGGAGGGGTAGGGGAAGGGGTAGGGGGAGGGGGAGGGCACCTGCTGTCGAGATAACGGAACCAGGGTAGATATACCGTAGTGACAATAGTGTCAATGGCGGAATTCAAATATATAACAGCACAATGATGCTGTTACAGTTTCAGCTGCAGAATCAGATGTGGTGTTGAATTTGGAAGTGGCGTCCGTGTTGATCCGTCAGTCATGTTGTGTTTGTTTGATGTTTAACGCCGCACTCTGCGCAAGTCCAGCTCAAGTACAGCTCAAGTATGGCGGCATGTGAGTAATCGAGTCTGGACCAGACTATCCAGTGGTCGATATTGTGAGCAACAATCCACAATTTGACACGTGACGATGATTCTTACAAACAATTACTAATTACAATGACGACTGCCGAAGCAGACATTCACTTTTAAGGACAAGGAAAAGATTTACCGAACTTCCCAGATGACACTGATATCCGCATCGTATTCATGAACAGTATATATGTATTGCGATGTCGGCCAGCATTAGTAGTGAGTTTGGTTTAACGCCGCTTTTAACAATATTCCAGCAATATCACGGTGGGGGGCACCAGAAATGGGCTTCACACAATGTACCCATGTCGAGAATCGAACCCGGGTCTTCGGCGTGACGAGCGAACGCTTTAACCACTGGGCTACCCCACCGCCCCGGCCAGCATTAATACAATGGACACATGGGTTACATCCCTCTCCCTGACCGTGACTTCCACCGTCATTCTTATGATGCTAATAAAGTGTCACACACACAAACATACTCTTATTTCAGATGCTGGGCGGTTCTGAGCGAATTACAAATATAACATAATCGACCAGGACCTGGCAACCAGTGGTCGATGGCACGAGTGCTGCCCGACGCTGTTAAGGTGTACTCCAACGCAGTTTGCCAGACAACATTTGAGTGAGTGAGTTGGGTTTTATGCCGATTTGAGCAATATCACATAATATCATGGCTGGGATAAGAGCAACCTTCACACATGATGATGATGATGATGATGATTATGATGATGATGAGGTTACACACAGGCAGCTAAAACGTTATAAGTTAAGGTTTTGTTTTCGTTTGGAGGGAGGAGCCTTGCGATAGAGGATGGCTCCTTCTAATTTACCACGGAAATTGTGAAAAAACACAATGAAACCAAACCGGAAAGACTGCCACAGCGTGGTCTGTTATTCTGATTTGGTTCTTGTTAAAAGCTGTTGTCGTTGCACTACCGTTGGTGTATTTCAGAGACAAAATGTTTCTGTATCTGAAAAACCTAGAATCGGAGACGTAGTCTAAACGATGATGATGATGATGATGATGATGGCGATGATGATGATGATGATGATGATGATGATGATGATGATGATGATTATCATTACGATGACGGTGATGGTGGTGGTGATACTTCTACTTCTAATGTCCATTTTATTGCAGTACATTATTATTACCCCGATCTCCGATCTGTGCATTCAGATTTCATTCTCACCTCCCTGGGGACCAAACAACCCAGGCTGACGTCTGAGGCGTTTGACGAGGGTCCGTGTTCGAACCCGGGCCTTTGGCCTGGCGCGCGAACTCTTTAGGCTACCATTAGGCCACCTACCTGTCCCCCACAGTAGGTTTTCGAGGTGGTCATCACTCATACAATTCGGCTTTAATAAAATCAACAACACAAGTTACTGGGACACCTATCCGTCCGACCCGTGAAGATCCGGGATAGAATAGGTCTTCAGCAACCCATGCTTGCCTTGAAAGGCGACTGCGCTTGTCGTAAGAGGCGACTAACGGGATCGGGTGGTCAGGAAGGCTGACTTGGTTGATGCATGTCATTGCATCCCAATTGCGAAGATCGATGCTCATGATGTCAATCACTGGATTATCTGGTCTAGACTCGATTATTTACAGACCGCCGCTGGAATATTGCTGAGTGTGGCGTTAAACAGCAAACGAACAACCGAACGAACCTATACGTCCATGATTATTTTTGTTCTTGAGCTGGTATAACAAAGGACG